CAGCCAGTCCCTGGCCCTCAAGCCCGCAGAGGTACGTTCAGGAGGGTCCCTGCCCTCCCTCGCCTCTCAGCCAGCTCAGGTGAGTCGGCAGGGGAAGACGTGGGCCCAGGGAGGGCAGACGAGGCACAGTGCAGTGACCCTGAGGCGCCTGATGAGGCCAGTGGAGCCACGTCCAGAGGGCCTCGTGCGCCAGGGAGGGACCCGGGGAGAGTCCAGGGCAGGGCAGACCGGGTAGGACTCAGTGTTCCCCCTGGGTGCCATGACTCGGGGGAGACCAGGAGCACAAGAAAAATGTCTGTGTCTTGAGGCCAGACGTGGAGGTGCATGCCTATCCTCCCAGCAGTTTGGGAGGCCACGGAGGGAGGATCGCTTGAGGCCAAGAGTTGAGACCAGCCTGGGTGACATAGTGAGACCCCATCTCAAAAAAAAGAGGGGCAACCCCCTTGGGTCCCCTTCCGCTCTGGGAGCTTTTCTGTCTTCTCCATAAGTCCTGCTTTCAAAAAAAAAGAGACACTGTCCCTGTCTCCCCATAGGCTTGGGCAGGCCAGGGTGACCAGGCAGGAGGACTTCGGGGGGGTGGCTTACAGGGGAACAGGACTGCAGGCAGGGAGGCCCCAGGCAGCCAAAAGGGAGGGGCCTGGGTGGGTGGCCTGGGGCCCCAGCTAAGGTCCAGAATGTTCTGCCTTGTCCGCGGCTGGCTTCCTGCCAGCTCTCCTCCAACTTCCGTCATGCCCTGACACACGGCCGTGAGTTGTTCTGCTGGTGGCGGCCGAGGAAAACCCCGAGTCTGCCTTCCCCCCGACCCCCCTCCACCTTCCACCCCTGTGGCCGCAGGCTGAGGACAGGCTGCAGCCCGGAGTGGGCGACCTGGGGTGTCGCCATGGCCCGAGAGACCCGGGGACGCCCCTGTCCTCCAAAGGGGCCCCCACTGAGGGATCTGAGTCTGCTCCCGTGATGGCTCCACGCGGGCTCACCCACCTCAGCACGGCCCCCGACCCTCCCGCTCCTGCCCCTGCCCTTCCGGCAGGTCCTTAGTCACCCTGACGCCTGCTGTCCTGCTGTCCCCCCCGGGAAACAGCGTCTGTCTGGCAACCCTCTGCCTCCTGCCTCGCAGTGTCCCCGTGCAGGTGGCTCAAGGGGGTGGCCCCTCCCACCCAGCAGTGTGTGGGTGTCCCTGGGCTGCGTGATGGACCCACACCCAGGGCCGTGGAGCAGCAGGGACCTGTCCTCGCTCTGCTCTGGAGTCCGGCCCTCCCCGCTCCTGGGGTCGTGCCTGGTGAGCAGTGCATCCCTGGCCTCCGTCTCCCCCTCCTGTGGTGTCTCTTACAAGGACATCAGCCCTCTGGGACCAGCATGCCCTCATCCCACCTGTGGCGTCATCGAGGCCTCCTTCCACATAAGGCCGTACTGGGCTTCCTGGAAGCACTTGGCGGGGGGGCCTGTCCAGCCAGGGACACTGGGCCGGGGAACCAAGTGTCACGGGGTGCCAGCCACAGTGGGCTCGGCTGCCCCACCTGTTGGATGATGGTTGCTGGAGGCCACCAGCCCCACCTGACAGACACGGGTTTCCTGCTGAGCGGCACCACGGCCCCTCTCCTAGGTGTGGTGGGGTCTGCCACACGTCTGCCAAAGTCGTGGGCCCCGTTCACCTGCCTCCAGCACTCGAGGGCATGGCGGATGTGCACAGGACAGCAGGGCGGCCCCAAGAGGGGGATGCGTCCAGGATGACGGGGTGGCCCTGAGCAGGGACGTGGGCTCTAGACTGGACGTATGCATGGTTTTTTCATGGACCCGTGGGCGGTGCAATGGCTGTGGGTTCCAAGGTCCCCCACGGCTGCTGGGTGTGAGGAGGGGGATGCAGGGTGTGTCCTGGTCCCCACATGGTGGGCGCCAGTGCACACGTTCCCCGCAGCTGCTGGGATGGCACCAGACTCGGCCCTGAACGACTCCTGCATCATAGTCCTGGGGTCAGAGTCCTCACGGCCCCACTGGGCTAGTGAGGCCGAGACGCCCAGGAGACCCCACGGCCCCTTCCCTGTGTCCAGAGGAGCCTGCGCCCCTCAGCTTGGGCCCGGCCCCCATCCTCAGAGCCAGCAGTGCAGCCTCTTCCTTCTCTGACTCAGCTTCCTGCCTCCTCTCCGGAGGACCCAGGGTGACGTGGGGCCCCGGTTGCTGGATCATCTCCCACCTTGGGGTCTCTGACCACCACTGCAGCGTCTGTCCCAGAGTCAGGGCGTGGACACTTGGGGGCCACATTTCCCGACCACGTGATCCTCAGCAGAAACCCATTTTCCAGACAGGAACCCCGGGACCCCACGGCGGAGTGCCAGGGTTGGGGGATGGTCCTGGAGCCGAGACCCGCATGCTGTTCATCCCAGCCTCCTCACGGAGGGTGGCCTCCTGGCTCAGCCGGGCCTGGACCAGGCGGCCCGGCAGTTCTGGGACCTGGCAGGCCTGTGTCTGGCCCCTGGAGCTGGGCTCATGGCAGACCCTGACCAGGGGCTGTGAGGCTGGAAGTCCTGGCCAGCTCGTTGTCCTCCCACAGGCCTGGAGAGGACAGGGAGGGCTGGCCCCGGCGCTCCGGCCTGGGACCACAGGTGCCTGCTGACCCTGGCCCTCCCGGGAAAGAGCCGCGGGCATGGACAGGGGCTGCGTCCTGCTCCTTCCGCTGGGTTGCTCGGCTCCCGTGGCCAACACGTCTCATGGCGCCTGCGGGCAGAGGGCTCAGTGTGTGCCAGGGACTTGGTGTGTGGGGTGGGGTCAGAGTCGAGGGAGGTTTGTTCCCCATTGTCCCCCCCACAGAGCAGATCCAAGGCCAGGCCTCAGTGAGTGCCTGTGTCCTTCCCCTCACCAGGCCTGGACGCCCCACAGAGCCTGTCGCCTGCTCTAGGCCCCAGCGGCCCTGACCCGAGGTGACCATCACAGGCCTGGGGTGACCGTCCCAGGTCCTGACCCAGGTTGACCATTCAGGCCCTGGTGTCCTTGACCTGGAGTGACCATCCCAGGCCCCAGCGACCCCGACCCAGGGCAGCCATCCCAGGCCCCAGCGTCCCCAACCTGGAGTGACCACCCCAGGACCCATGGCCCTGCCATCACCATCCACTGTGCGTGTGTCTTCCCAGCATGCATGTGACCTTGAGACAGGTCCTGTGCTGGGATAAGCCCATGTGTGTTGGCGGGAGGGTGGCCAGGCCCCACACCCAGGGCTCCCTGCAGCAGCCGCACCTCCAGCCTGACATCTTTCCCTTTCTCCCTCAGGTCAGGCTCAGAAGAAGGCGGCCCCCACGGAGGTGAGTGTCCAGAGGGGATGTAGGGCCGGGGTCCCCACCCTGACCTGCCTCCTTCACGTCTTGAGAGGCCCCGTGGCCCTGGACGGCTCACTGTACCTTTCTGGTGGCCACCTCGTGTGGACCAGTGAGGTGGATACAGCATCCTTCCTGCCAGTGTCTTTGAGTTTCAGGGGCAAAAGTCGGGGAAGAGGGGACGCTGCCAAGGTCCCCAAGCCAGGGGTCCCGGGAGGGGCTGTAGGGGTAGGAGGGGCCTCTCTGGCTCTGGACCACGAGGGACAGGCTGGGTGGTGTGGCTTCCACTCACATGGTGGCCTCAGCTGGAAGCTCTGCCCTGGGGGTCGTCCCAGGTGTTAGCGGGACTTGTGGTGGCCGTGGCGGGCACAGCAGTGTCAGGGGCGGTACTGGGGGGCGGGATGAGGAGGTGGTGGGTCAGACGCTGCCCAGAGCGTGATGCCCAAGCCACCAACTCTGCCACACCCTCCACTCCAGTGGTCGTGGTTCCCTGTGGCAGCATCTAGGACACAACACACACCAGTGTGTGTGTGTGCACGTATGTATGCACACAGGGGCTCTTCTGCTTGTCCTGCTGCCCACCTTCGGGAGTCTGTCCCCAGATCTCGGCTCTGCCCATCTGGGTTCTCAGCCTTTGCTTGCCACAGGCACCGAGTGCCTTGCTCTGGGCACGGGCGGGCACCATTCCAGGAGCAGCCCAGGGCGTCGCATCGTGGCATCCCTCAGACCCGCAGCAGCAGGGCCCACGTGGCCTGGGTTCCACCTGACTGCCCTCCATGTCCCAGTGCCACCTGTCACTCGGGTCCTTCTGCATGTCCTTCTGAGGACGAGAGACGAGGCTGTGTCTACCCGGCCAGGCGCTGCCCCTCGAGTCCATGTGGGGCCTGGATGTCCCTGGGGCCAGCAGGGCAGCGCCGGGAGGTGGGCAGGCCCAGCTGGAGTGCCCTGGAGCCCATGAGGACCGCAGAGCGGTGGCAGGGTCAGTTGCTGGGAGGAGCCTGCCCCCTGCTGGCTGGTGGGGAGGCTGCGCTGGAGTCCAGTGGATCCGAGGCCACAGCACGGGGGCCAGGAGGGGTAGGGGCTGTGTGGTGGGGTGGCTGGGTGGGGCGAGGGCCACGCAGGCCAGGCTTCCCTGGGGCAGGGCCGCGGGGGTTCTCCCTATGACACAGCGGCGCCCTTGGCACATCAGGAGAGGCTGTTTGCCGCCATCCCAGCCCAGGGGCTCACAGGGTGGTCCTGCCCCCAGGGGACTCTGGACGACATCTGGGGACATGTGTGGGTGTCGTGACTGGGGTGCTTCTGGCATGGAGGGGGCGGAGGCCGGGAATGCTGCTCAGCTCCCTGCCGTGCCCAGGATGCCCCCCTGAGAATGACCCAGCCCAGTGTCCACAGGGTCTAGGAGCCCTGGCGTGAGGTGCCCGGGACTGCCTGATCCCTGCCTTTCCTGAGAAGCTGGAAGCCCCGATCCTGGGGTGAACCTTTGCGATGGCCAGGGTTGGACACTGTAGAGCACCGGGCAGCCCGCCGGACCCCTGGGGGCTAGGGTCTCCACTCCCCCAGAGTTACCCGCACGCTCCAGAGACCCAGTGGCCACATCCTTCTTGCCAGGGCTTCCAGAACCTTCTGGCCCAGCTGTGCCTCCTTGCCAACTCCCTGCTTCCTCTTCCCAGGCCCTTTCGATGGCGGGACAGCCAGGCCCAGGCCACGGAAAGAAGCTGGGCCACCGAGGCGTGGACGCGTCCGGGGAAACCACCTACAAGAAGGTTCCTGCATGCACTGGCTGGGCGGGTGGAGGGAGGGGCCTGTGGTTCTGAGGTCCGCCTGTCCCACCTGAGCCACACACGGGCTTGCTCAGGGTCAGTGTAGCTGGGCCATGTCTGGCGGGGCAGAGGCTCTGGGGAACACTTGGTCCTTTGAGTCCTTGCGCCGTTCTCACTGGTGGCCAGCAGTGTCCTCCAAGGCCAGCCTATCTGGGCACCAGCCCAATTCAGAGTCCTCAGGATCTTGGGCAGCACCCAGCCCTGTGCCTCGTCTCGGTGGATACAGCCACCCACCACCACCCGGGACAGTGGGTGGGATACACAGAGGCAGGCCCTCCTGGGCCGTGTGGGCGGGAGGCCACACCCTCCTCTCCTGCCTTGGCGTGTGTGTTTTTACACACCAGCTCCACTGAGGTATAATTCACATACTGTATAGCTTACCCTTTGAAGTGTAGGTAGGCCAGGCGCAGGGGCCCACGCCTGCAATCCCAGCACTTGGGGAGGCCGAGGCGGGAGGATCACCAGGAGTTTGAGACCAGCCTGGGCAATATCTCAAGAGCCCATCTCTACAAAAAAATCAAAAAGTTAGACAGGCATGGTGACGTACACCTGTCCCAGCTACTGAGGAGGCTGAGGTGGGAGGATCGCCTGAGCCCAGGAGGTCGAGGCTGTGCTGCCTGTGAGCATGCCCCTGTGCTCCATCCTGGGCAAGAGTTTGAGACTCTGACTTAAAATGCTGGCAGTGAATCAGCTCTTGCCAGGTCAAGTAGTTTTGATATGCTTGGACTTTCTAGAACCTTGAGAGGACACAGCCCTGAGGGCTGCACAGGGCAATACCAAAGTGGGCCAGCCTCTTTGTGTGGCCCGAAGGGACAGCTTCACCCTCCCTACCTGGCTCTCGCCCTGTGCTGCAGTGGCAGGATGGGTCAGAGCTCTGGACGGTGGCCATGCCTGGGCCAGAAGGAGGGCGCAGGCAGGGGCTGGGGGTCCTGCCACAGGCAGGACACTCAAGGGGGCACGGGCACAGTGGGGAACCCCTGGAAGAGCCCTGACATGCGGGTTTCACAGACCACGTCATCCACGCTGAAGGGCGCCATCCAGCTGGGCATCGGCTACACAGTGGGCAACCTGAGCTCCAAGCCTGAGCGTGACGTCCTCATGCAGGACTTCTACGTTGTGGAAAGCATCTTCTTCCCCAGGTGAGTGCAAGCAGCCCTAGCCTGGCTCTCGAGGCCATTCAGTCTGTCTTTTGACCCTTCCATACCAGTGCCTGGTCTCCCGGCATCTCCTTGGCTCTGAGCTCTGGCGTCTGGGACCAAGTGTTCATTTGCTGCTGAAGCAGAGATCCAATGTAAAAGCAGTTAGAAAAAAGAGAAATAAATTATCCTCTCTCATAAAAGTACCAGTAGCACCAGGTGCTGTGGTTCACACCTGCCAGCCCAGCATTTTAGGAGGCCGAGGCGGGAGGATTGCTTGAAACCAGGAGTTTGAGACCAGCCTGGACAACATAACAAGACCCCATCCCTACAAGAAAATTAAAAAATAGCCAGACTTGGTGGCTCAGCCTGTAATCCTGCACTTTGGGAGGCTGAGGTGAGTGGATTACCTGAGCCCGTGGGTTCGAGACCCGCCTGGGCAACTTGGCGAGACCTCATCTCTACAATAAATCAAAACATGAGCCGGGCGTGGTAGTGTGTGCCTGTAGTTCCCACTACTCGGAAGGCTGAGGCGGAAGGATCGCCGGAGCCCAGCAGGTTGAGGCTGTGGTGGCCGGGAGCGGCCACTGCCCTCCAGTCTGGGCGACAGAGTGAGACTCCAACTCAAAAAAATTAAAAAAAGAAAAGACAAGAAAAAGAAAAAAAAATTAGCCAGGGGTGGTGGCTGCACACCTGTAGTCACAGCTACTCAGGAAACTGAGGTGGAAGGATCACCTGAGCCCTGGTTGAGGCTATGGTGAGCTGTGAGCGTGCCGCTGCTCTCCAGCCTGGGTGACGGAGTGGGACTCCAACTCAAAAAATAAAAAGAAAACACCAGTGGGCAGCTGAGGCTGGAGCACATCTTTGTGGTGTCTGGGCCCCCCGGCCCTCCATGCCGCCACCCTGGTATGCAGCCTCCGTGACCTGTGGTCCCTGGCCGCCTGTGCCTAGCCAGCGTCTCAGGCTCACTGCTGACGGGAGGGTGGTGGTTGCAGGGACATCCGTCGGGAGCCCTGCTGCTCGTGGGGTGGGCATCGTGAGGCCTTGGGGCTGGTGGTGAGGCATGCCCAGGTAGGGAGGGCACCCAGAACCCTGGGCCTCAGACTCTGCATCCCTCTCCACAGTGAAGGCAGCAACCTCACCCCTGCCCACCACTTCCAGGACTTCCGCTTCAAGACCTACGCGCCTGTGGCCTTCCGCTACTTCCGCGAGCTCTTTGGAATCCGCCCTGATGACTACCTGGTGAGTGTTACAGTCGCCGGCCTGCCCAGGGGTCTGGCAGGTTTCTTGTGGGGTGACAGCCGAGTCTAGGGCCAGGTCTCCTGCAACTCGCTCTGGAAGGACCCACCTCCAAGCTCCCACCCTAGGCGGCACCGTTCCCTGCTGGCGTCGGCTGGCCCGTGGCCTCTTTTTTCACATGTGCGAGGGACCTGCTGTCTACGCAGATGTCACTGTCCCCTGCAGCCCACTGGCCGAAGTGGCCACCCCGTCCCCCCTGCCAATGTGTTGGTTAGCCAAATCACAGTCCCATCCACCCCCAAGGGGATGGTATGACTCCCTCCCAGGGACCTGCTCAGAGTTGGACCTCTAGGCTCTGGTCGTGGCTTTATTTTCTCAAATTAGAAAAACCCAAATCCAGCCATCTGCTGTCACTGGCACCGTTATTGGGGCTTCCAGTCCCAGGGCAGTAGGAGGGGGCATCACCAGCCCCAGGATGCATCCAAGAGTCCGTGGTGTCTGTATCCAGGAGTCGTGGCATCCATGGGCCAGCATGCTAGGCATCCACGACATGCGGCCTTTGACTCTGCCAGTCATGCGTAGTGATATGCTTCCATGCCTGTGGCGGTCGCTGGCTGTCATGTGGCAATTTGTCTCAGTCTCAGGACCCCGTGTCCTCCCTCATGCCACAGTCTTCCCGGAGAGCACCAGTGTGTGCCCCAGCCAGGTGTGACCCCGGGGGACTGCAGCCCCAACGACCCTGGGGTCTCCTGACCGCTGCACCCTTGCTGGGATGTCCTTCCCTGTGTCCCCAGGCTCAGCAGCACAGTGGGAAGTGGAAGCAGCACCTGGCTGCATAGATGCTCGGCTAGCGAGTTGCCCCACGTGGAATTCCATACAAAGTCTCACGTGTGCCTGCCAGCAGGAAGGGGCAGGTGAGCGCAGTGTGGTGCTGCCAGGGCTCGACTGGAGCACGTTCCACCCGGTGACCCCACAACCCGCTGTCCTCACCTGGGGGGCAAGAAGCCTCCTGGGCCCCTGTACTGGGCAGGCACACATGCAGCGGGCGGGGGCCACGTGTGCTCACGGGTCCCCAAGGCTCCACACCCGGCTCTTGGGCTGGGTTTGCCACTGACTCTGACGAGCAGCCAGGGTCACTGCCCCAGCCAGGGGGAGCCTGAGGGAGGCCCAGCCAGGATGCCGGGAGAGAAGCAGAGGCCGACGGACTGGGGCTGCAGGCATTGGCCTCCGACCCACCCAGCCCGCCTGCAGGGGTCGAGCAGTGGGTCGCGGGCAGCATGCCCATACCCGCCAGAGCCTCGGCCCCCACCAGCCTGCTACCCCACAGCAGCTGCCGATGGCCACTTGGATCCAGAACCTTCCCTCCCACCGACTTCTGCGCGAGGCCAAGACGTGTCCCGCAGCCCCTCCTCGCCCACAGCAGGAGCTGCACTGCTCCTGTGGGAGGTGCCCTGAGGACAGCGCTGTCCTCGGTGTGGGCCTCATCTCCTCCCCGGGGGCCCAGGAGGGACCCACCCTCGTGTGAGGCATCTGGTGTGGGAGGGGTGGCGGCCATCCTGCACGGCGGGAGGGTGGGGAACCCGCTGGGCCTCTCTGTTTCCCGTGGATATTTGTGGCTCGGGGCTGTGGGCGGAGAAGGGACTGACAGATGGCCAGGCCGGCACTGGCTGCAGCCCGACGGTCTCGTGCCCACAAGCAGGTGCTCCCCATACAACCTCCCCCACCCATGAATACACCCTGGAAGTGGCAAAACGTGGCCACCGCTCACCCACTGACGCTTCCCAGGCCTGGCCCACACCTCCCCCCAGGGGCCTGGTCTGTCTCCTCTGACCTCCCACCTCCATCCCTCCCCTGTGGTCCCCTCTGCATCTGGCAGCCAGAGGCAGCCCCTTTAAGGCACGCCATTGTCACTCCCTGCTGACCTTCCCACAGTGTCCTAGCACCCACGGAGTAAATCCTCTGTCCCCAAGGCCACAGGCCACCATGGGGTGACCAGCTGCCTGCCCTGCGTTCAGCCTCACCGTCCTGTCTGCTGTGCTCTGACATGCAGGCACTCCTGCCCCAGGGCCTTGGCACAGCTCCTTGACTTCTTTTGCTGGTTCCTCCAAGGGCTTCCCCGGCCACTGTGGCCGGCGTGTGCACCCCGTGACCCCACCCCAACTCTGCACGACTTTCCTCCATGCCTGTCATTGCCCCGACATGCCACGTATGTCACTTCTTTGCTGTCGAAGCGTTAACTCCCAGGGCAGGGGCCCTGGCCCGTCCTGTCATCTGCCGCCTCCCAGTGCCCACATGGGGCCTGGCTGTCTCAGTGCTCGGGGGCCTTGGCGGGACCGAGGGCTGAGGCTCCGTGGCTTTGGGGAGAGAGGCGGCAGCATCGTGTCAACCGTCTGGGAGGCGCCAGCCTGGCCCCCAGGATACCCACCCCGCAGACCAAGTACGGGAGAGACCCTGGTCCCGAGCCGCGGTTCGGGCTGCTGTGACTCCACACGACTGGCCTGTGCTGATGGCTGGCGATGACCGTGGCAACGCTGGCCCCGCCCAGGACCCCCGTGGGGAGACTTGGCTTTCCCAGGCCCCTCGGCCCCACGAGTCCCCAGTCCTCTCTGGCACCAGGCATGTTCACGTGGCCCAGGAGGCCAGAGAGACTGTTTCGGGCCCTCCTGGGGTGGCGATGGGGCCAGTGGATCCCAGACAATCCATCCACAGAGAGAAGAGAGCACAGGGGTCTCATGAGGACACGCTCCCGACAGCCCCGGCTGGGGCTAAGCCCCTGGTGGCCCATCCCTCACCCTGCGGTGTGGCCCAGGTCAGCTGGGAACGGCCTCCCACGGCTCTTGGTCCGCCACCACACCTCTCTCTGGGGACACCCCCACTCACACAGTGACAGGCACTTCTCCTGGCGGGGCAGGGGCACTCGTCACTGCAGACACCCGTGTGTCCACTCTGCGAGTGGTTGCCCTGCGTTTACTCCACAGCAGGCCCGGCTCTCCTGGCTGGCGGGAGCTGCTATGGCCTCACCATGTACACCAGTGGTGATCAGTTAGGGCTCCGGGGCTGTGAGGCACGGGGAGCCCAACCCAGACAGCCTTGACCCCGGGAGGACTTCATCAGCTCATCACCTGGAAAGGCCACTCTCTCCTAACAAATTGAGCACCTACTGTGTGCGTCAGTAAAGGAATTGCATAAAACCTCTGCTTCCATCTCACATCTGGGAGGGAGTATGTGAGAAAGAGGCATGAATAGGGGGAGCAGGCAGGCAGGAGCGTCAGCGGGAGAGAAGGCAGGGATGACGGGCGGGGCGGGTTTCTGTCTCTCTGTCATCCTGGGTTCACAGCTTCTATCCGAAGGTCACCTCATGGTCCAGTGTGGGTGCTGGGGCTCCGGCTGTTACATCAGTGTCCTGGGAGGGAAGCAGGTGGGCAGGAGAGAAGGGCAGAAGCACAGCTGCGCCCACCGCCATCACCCATTCAAGGAGCCTTCCTGGGTTCCACACCGAGCCTCTCTGCTTTGACTCCTGGGGTAGCTGAGGCCACAGCTACACTGGCTGCCGGCGGGTGGGGCCCATCTCAGCCAGGCACACCCGCACCCAGCACGACCAGGCATCCGCTGCTCACTGGAGAGGGGAACCAGAGGCGGTCGGCCCGGGGAACCAGAGGGGACAGCCCAGGGAGCGTGCTGGGCTCGTCCACGCCGGGTGGCCCTGGGCCAGATACCCGCCTGCTGAGCCTCCGTTCCCTCGTCTGTGCCGCAGACACCCATTCACCCGTGCTTACCTTGCAGTACTCACTGTGCAACGAGCCGCTCATAGAGCTCTCAAACCCGGGCGCCAGTGGCTCGCTGTTCTACGTGACCAGCGATGACGAGTTCATCATCAAGACCGTCATGCACAAGGAGGCCGAGTTCCTGCAGAAGCTGCTGCCGGGCTACTACATGGTGCGTGGGTGGGGCT